TTTGATTATTTAATGATATTTTTCGATATTTGTATATAGTGTAATTCAATTTAGAGACAAGATGTTATATAATTTTTTACTAATAAACCTTAAATAATTTTACAGATGTAATATGAATTGCGAGAAATTAAACGAACGGTCATTAGTTCGTAGATTTAAAGACACATTGCCAGAACTCGTTGGATTTGAAAAGTTAATTACAGTTATTCGTTCAATAATCGTTATTGATTTATTCAGTCGATGTAAGCGATTTTTGATGTGAATGATTTAATTCTTAAATCGGATACTTATAAATTTCAAATTTAATTTTGTGATGAGAATTCGTATTATATTGCGATTTATTAAGGAGCGAGCTCCATTTCGCATAATTTTACAAATATAACTCTGATTAACTTATACGTGATTTTTGATGTGAATGATTTAATTCTTAAATCGGATACTCTCTATTAAATTTCAAATTTAATTTTGTGATGAGAATTCGTATTATATTGCGATTTATTAAGGAGCGAGCTCCATTTCGCATAATTTTACAAATATAACTCTGATTAACTTATACGAGAGAATTAGTCGTGATTTTGCAATTGTGTAACGTTTGTCAGAGATAGATTCTCGTAGCCGCACGAATAAATTTAAAATTGTAACTTGTATCACAAGCATCGTGAAGTCACGATATATACTACTATGAATTAATTCAAGAAAACAACTATAATTATTCTCATAAATCGATGTAAATGTTACAATATTTTGCAAGATTAAAATTGCCAACTATAATAAATTTTGTAAATTAATTGCGCATTATCTCGGCGCAATTACAAAATCTAATTGCAAAAACCGTAAGTATGTCAATGTCTTCAATACTCGCGCAATCGTCGAGTCGCAAACTGATCCTGCGCGCATGGACTCTCCCTTAAAGAAGTCGCGGTTCATTTGGAGCACCGGATGCGATTAGGACAGCGACTGAATTGAGACGACTTAATTGCGTTTCCATCTTCAAAGACGTGTCCTAGACAATTTGCTGAATCTGTGCGGACCTTGGCACAACGGACCTTTGATTCCTTCTCATTAGCGCGAAACGCATCGGTGGCTCCGAACTTCTCGGAACAAGAGGCGCTCTAACTACGCATTCTCTGTCGCGGTGTTACTCTCCCCGGATCTTTTTTCCGCAACGGAAAGGCCGTGTCGAGAACGTATTGAGCCTTCGCACCCGAAATTATTTCACGCGAAGCGCGATCTATTTTAATGATATAAATAGCGATCGTCGATCGAAACAGCGTAATTAAAATTGGAATCTCGTACAATTCAAGAAAAGGACCGTTTATTACGAATAAATCACAATCTTATATAAAATATTGTTAAGTTTTCCTCTCCTCCCTTTCCCTCCCTTCGGGAGAAAGAGTTTTTTTGAGTTCCTTCTTTTTCTCGGCGTTCAAGATCGATGATGAAAGCGCTCACATCTTTTAATTAATACTTCATGCAAGGCAGCATTTTTTTTCTAGCTCTTGTCACATACATCGTCACGATAAATCATGTTGACTAATACTCGGGAATTGTACGTACCGAGTATATACGATGTAAATTTGGCGAGTATTCTTCCGATTCAATGTTGCTTTCTATGCCTATCTATATTTATAGACGCAGTTCCGTTTTCAAGCATATCCCATGCACGTTTCCTTTCGTCTTTCGTAAGTTGACCACTTATTTTTGCCGCTCTTACCTAACGTTATGAGGCATTTGCAAATTAATCTACTGATTTATCGAATCGATTAGAGTGACGAGATATACGATATAGAGAACAGATATTTCGGATGTATAGGAGTAATTGAAAAATATTGGATACCTATCGATTCAATCTCGTTTATTTTTACGAAATTGATGCCTTTCAATAATTCGCACGAATATGTGTCAACCAAAAAAAGAATCATCAAACAGAGAATTGGATATCAACAATTTTGTTTTATAAACTTATATATAACAAGTTTTTATGTAAATAGATTAAAATGCATCAAATTTAAATTGTTCCAAAAAATCTTTGCGTTTTATCATCAAGCTATTTCAGATATCATTTTGGTATCAGCTAGACACATAGACTGAGATGGAATATATAAAGTAATTAATTTTTTGTTATAAATTAATTAAATTAATCAATTAATTTTTTATATATTTAAATAGCGTTTATACTTGATCGCGGCGCATTTCATTCTTCATTATAGATGCAGAAATGTCCACTCGTTTGTCTACCTATGTATGTATGTATCGAGAATTACGTCGAAAATTACGGCCAACAGTCCTGTGATAAATAATTCACGTCACCATCGCGAAAACTGCTCGGTGTCGCGTGGTATATCAAACAAATTTGGCGAGCAAACTAGGTAATACATCATCTGCAGCAGTATGACAGCCAGTATCGTAGGCAGTAATCTATAAATAAATACTCGTGTGCCTTGCCAAACAATCGATTCGATTGGGATTAATTGTTCAGTGCAAGTATTTCCGGAAAATCCTGAATTAAACAAACTTTATCCCAATTACAATACTATACTTTCAAAAACTTCTATGCGTGCTAAAAACTATATATTTACATACATTACATTTACTATATGTATATATGTATATATAATTTATAAATATTTCCATAAATAATAATTATAAATAATTATAATAAATGTTTGAATTAATCTTAATTTTTTTAAACCAAAAATAAAATATTAAAATTAAAATTATTGACAAAAAACAGTATTAGAATAATTAATATAAATATCAAAGTTTTAATACTTTTTATCATTACTAAAGTAAAAATTTATTAAAAGTAATCTTAAAATTTGTAATTTTAAAACAATATTGTCTTGTTTTGATTCTAACGATGGGAAAAAAAGGAGCTATTTTTTCAGTTTGCGATCAAACAAATCGGAGCAAACGCGTATGAGTAATATATCTTGATCAAATATAATTTTTATCACGTTATAAAGGCATTAATATTCAAATATTAATTTATTATTGATATCTCTTATTTATGCGTTTCTTGTTTGCGTTTACATCGATATAAAGCGATTTCTCGGTTTATTACACAGAATGAAAAAACATCGAAAGCGATAAAGATGTATTTACTCAAATTAAACACAATATTTTACAGGCGTAATGCAATATTTTATTAAAATATGTCGAATCATCATCGTAATCATTGCTATCATTATTTATATTTTGTGATTATCGCCGTTTTTATATCATCAAATACCGAGCAAGCTATATAAAAATTCTTTCAGCATTTTCTCATTATCTTACTATCTTAGGCCCATGAATATTTATGATCTCTTGTTTCTACATTGTTTTTAATTTTATGGAGATTACAGTTGTTGAGTCACAGTTTTCGCACAATAATTACGAAGAATTTTAACTGTCTCGGCGTGGGTATATTAATTCTTGTATAATTTGTGGACTTGAAAACTAAGTAGCTTCTATAAAACCTTTACACAATCTTCTTCGATATGTAACCGATTTTTCTTGAACGAAAAGTTTGATTAAATCCTCTCTCTTCGTAAGTCTTTTATTTCCGAATGTCTTGGTAATTAAGAGCTTCCAATTAAAATTCTATTAAAATGATATCCACTTGTAATTAAATAAAGATGAAAGTCTATATCAATTTTTGCGAAAAATTACTCGCTCTTAAATTCTTATCATCTATTGTTTGAAGTTGTTGTTATTACGACCTTTTAAACAAACAAATCGGTTATAGATGAAAAGTTCACGTAATTTGTAAAATGTCGAAAATTAAAGCTATTCCCATCTTATACATAAAACGAATAGAAAATAAAAAAAGAGAAGATTGAAACTAACTGTCATCTTGTATTTATCAGCGCATGTCGACCTATTCGTCCACGTTCCAACTAATATTATTAGTTTCGCATGTTTCCCCCGTTCTCTCAGTTATATGCTTTGCGGTATCTTTATCCGAACTTTCGTGCCAGCAATATATCCAAGATGCTGGCGAATGTGGGTGGCTAATTAGATCATCGACGCATTTGATAATCTGCCGCGACAGTTTGTACGCTTGCCGTGTTCTAATCATTAAATTTTAACATCGTTAAATATTTAGGTGTTTAGAAATATTGCATTTAAAAAATACTTTTTATATTTTTTTTCTACATTTCTATAACTTAATACACTTTACCGTTTGAATTTTAAGAATTCCAATGTCAATCATCATTTTTGCTTAGCGACAATTGATGAACATTGCGATATAAAAATACTGTACGAATATACAATTAAAGCACTTTTTTAAAAATTCTTTTTCATTTAAGAGCAAACACTTCCTTCGTTATAATTGATGAAAATAAAAAGAAATATATGAATTTAATTCTAAATATATTCGTACATCGTAAAATTTTGCTTTGTAGTAATATATTCAAGCGAAAATTTCTTGATAAATTACATAACAACAATATACAAACGTGATCCCTTTATGAAACTTACGTGATCCCTTTAATGTGCACGTGGATATACATACCTTGCGGTTGAAAAATACGAGTCAAATTTAAAACGGAAAGACCAGTGCCAAGAATAACGGTCTCAAAGCTCTTACACAGAGGGGTGCATAACTTATGCAAGTGCTTTCGCCGCGGCCAGCGAAGGACAACGAAAAGTGGAGGAAAAAGGAGCCGACCCCGTCGGCTCCCAATTCGCTCATAATTCATCCGTATCTGGATATACACTGCGGTTAAAGAGCATCTGAGGTTTCGCTTAAACGAAGTTTGCGCTTTGCGTTGCACTTGCGTATGACTCGCGATCACGATGATTCTTTTACGTTAAACGCGGCGTGAAAACGGAGTTTAATTTTTGAGCTTGGAGTTTTGAGTTTTGTTTAAGATTTCAAGAACGTAATTTCGTCCGGTGAATATTATACAGAGACTATGTTGTTCAAATAACAGATTAACAAATATAAATATATTTTGACATATCATACAATACATATATTCTAATATCGTTCGTATTCTTGTGTGTTTCAGGTTTCGAGCAAACCGAGCAAGCGTTATCTTCGCAGAATAACGGCAGCAGCTTGGATTGTCTCAGTATGATTGTGCAGAGCATTAATGGACCGTTACAACCGTCATCAGAGAATCATTATTCACCTCATCACTGAAGTTGTACAATATCGAGTCTTGTTGATCCCTCTTTGGATCAAGCCTTCCTTCTTAGCTATTGAAATGCATGTCACTCGAGTTTTCAATTGAATGCGCATGTATATACGTAAAAAAAATCCGACTATCTTTTTCGAAACATTTTTATTGCATTGCACAGGATGTTTCAAAAATCGTTGAAAGTGTACTTTTAGCGACTCGCAGAATGAAGATGAATGATGGAGATACTGAGACACATAATAAATTAGATAACAGTTTATCTAATTTAAAAAAATAAATAAATAAAAGGGAGAAAGCCGTCTCGTGTCTTTAAACTGAAGGAATTCCTAGTCGAAAAGAAGCGCACGATTTCTGAAACATCGTGTATATTTTAATCGGTCCGACAAACTCGCGATGGATTTTTATCGAAGCGAAAATCACGGACATCGCGAGCGATTAAATTGATATTCGATGGAGGCTTCGAACAAAGTAGTATAGATTTCCGATCATCAGTCATCAAATCTATGCGAGATATTGGAAGCGTCGTGAGAAATAGAAAAAAAAATATTTTATCTATATGTATACCAAAGAGAAAATATTTTAAAAGATAAATTCTAGATTTTTTTTCCTCTTTGCGAGAAGACTTAGCTTAATATTAATTATAATTACTATAAAGAGTGGATGATGAAAGTTTATAGCGAAGTAAGGGTTCGTCATGAGGCCATTATTTAAATATTTGGAATGAAAACAAAAACGCCTTTTGTTTAGGATTTATAGATTTTTAGAAGATTAATTTCTTCCTTTTTTTTTTTACTCATCTCTGACTTTTGGCAATGTTAATTTAAAACAAGCTCGAGAATTCAGAGCGATGTAATTGCCAAATATTAATTTAGAACAAGCGCGAGAAATGCAGAGCGATGTAATTGCCAAAAATATTTTTTGCGCTTTCATACTTTTCATACTTTTCTTGTTATCTCTGCAACATCTGCATAAATGAAGTCTACTATCGTTATTTTCAAAATTAGTCTTTATTCCCATAAATGTAAAAAATATATTCTTCTCTCGACATAGAGTTTCTTCCTCAATAAATGTACAAAGTCCTTTTTCCTTGCGTATATATGCGTTGTTTTGCATTTCTATTTGAAAATTATGGATTTAAATCGTGATATTTTGGCGAAAAATCTGTCTTATTGTTAGTAGAAAATTTTAGGCGAGACGTTTGTGTCTTGACACCAACAAAATCGTCGGAACAAATCGTCGAACTTCTCATGTGCCTGCGAGATATATCGTATCGATCGCGTGGAGTATCTGTGTAACCGAGCTTCTCATCGATATCGCGATGATGTAAATATGCGGTATTACGAAACAATAAAGAAGAACGAAGGACGGAGAGATATTTTCTTTCTACCGGTGTCGCTTACCGCATCTAATTTTTGAATAGTTCGTTCGCATTCCCCTTAACGAGCTTTCCTCGGCAGCGAGTCATTCATCAGACGGCGGATGATTAATCAGTCGGCTAATCATCGCCGTGTTATTAAGGCCCGCATATTTTAACGGTATGTTTCGTACTGTATATTACGAGCTCGTCATATGTGATTAATGACGTATCGGCACGTTTGTGAACGTTTAACGCGTGTCTAAACGTCCAAGAACGTTGATCTTCTGATTTTGACGATTCTTGTGAATGATCCTAAGAAGAAGGGAAATCCGAGAAACCGTTTAAAATACTTTCGAAGACTTGTTGTTGTTGGAACTACCGCGCCTACATTTTCATGATACATCGCCACTTTAGACTCCATCGCCCGAGAAAAGCGAAATAAAATGTCAGCTGTCGCGTCGCCATCGCTTCCACTCGAAGAGTGTCGCTTCCTCAGCATTCTTACTTAAAACGGAAATCTCGAGTGCCTCGAGTGCCTTCCTCGTAAAAACTGGCTCTCCATTCAGTGCACGCTGCATCGCGAGGAGCTAAATCGATAAATGTTTACGTTGAACACTGTAAACTTTCGATGCGAATAAAACTCCAATCTTCTGTAAATAACGATGAATTGTCGATCGTATATTCGATCGTTGCGATTTCGTGATCGCGTAAAACGTATGCGAGAGAAGATACAACAATCTTCTCTGTATCATTATCGACGATGAAAACGATCGACAAAGGTACAAGGTGTTCGCAAGCAAATATTTACATCGCGAGACAAATAATTCGTATACCAAAGGAAAAATAGAAATTAATCGTGCGAATATATTTTTCGTTCAAAAAACAGATGCTTCCGCTTCTATTTTCTGTATTTGTGCACTATTCTTATTTCTCTATGATCCGTTATCGCTTAACATGCCCGCCGTTTGACAGGATCGCCAAAGGCAGCTGAGATCGTCGCCGACTTATGAGAGAAAGAGAGAGACACTCTCTCTCTCTCTTTCTCTCTCGAAGAGAGGGCCTCGTACAAGCGACACGGAAATCGGAGCAGAGGGATCGGACACCGGACATACCTAGTTATATAGTGAATCCGAAAGCTTGTCTGGAATCGTCGCACGGCATATCGGCACGTTTTCAAAACAGGGCACGTCCCCGGAGGCACGTCGAATGCATCTGTGCCCATTCGTCACGTCGCGCTATTAACGGCAAATTTAGAATCGGGGATTCTTATGGGGATTCCTCTCTCTCTCTCTCTCTCTCTGTTTCTCTCTCTCCTCCTGCTTTTCTCGTATCCCGTGTAAGTAGCCTGATATATCGCCGGTGTTTTGCCGCGATAGATCGTTACTCGATGTCACTCTGGGCTTCCAAAAGATCATGTAACGTTACAGTATTTTAAGTCTCTGTAATTGTCGATGTATGCGTTTATATTAAAAACGCTTCGAGCAAAAGATATTCGTGTTAATAAGAACTTTAAAAGTGTATAGGAATTTAATTAGCATTATTTTACTCAAAATTTTGCAATTGCCCTTCTTTTTCTTTCTTACAATGAGTTCAAAATTTCATTTATTTTATAATGTGAAAGAGAGTTCTTTATGTTCGATAAAATTTAAAAATAAAAGATGATATTGATTCTTTTTAGAAAACGTAATTTCGTCCGGTGAATATTATACAGAGACTATGTTGTTCAAATAACAGATGTAAAATATAAATATGTTTTGACATATCATACAATACATATATTCTAATATCGTTCGTATTCTTGTGTGTTTCAGGTTTCGAGCAAACCGAGCAAGCGTTATCTTCGCAGAATAACGGCAGCAGCTTGGATTGTCTCAGTATGATTGTGCAGAGCATTAATGGACCGTTACAACCGTCATCAGAGAATCATTATTCACCTCATCACTGAAGTTGTACAATATCGAGTCTTGTTGATCTCTCTTTGGATCAAGCCTTTCTTCTTAGCTATTGAAATGCATGTCACTCGAGTTTTCAATTGAATGCGCATGTATATACGTAAAAAAAATCCGACTATCTTTTTCGAAACATTTTTATTGCATTGCACAGGATGTTTCAAAAATCGTTGAAAGTGTACTTTTAGCGACTCGCAGAATGAAGATGAATGATGGAGATACTGAGACACATAATAAATTAGATAACAGTTTATCTAATTTAAAAAAATAAATAAATAAAAGGGAGAAAGCCGTCTCGTGTCTTTAAACTGAAGGAATTCCTAGTCGAAAAGAAGCGCACGATTTCTGAAACATCGTGTATATTTTAATCGGTCCGACAAACTCGCGATGGATTTTTATCGAAGCGAAAATCACGGACATCGCGAGCGATTAAATTGATATTCGATGGAGGCTTCGAACAAAGTAGTATAGATTTCCGATCATCAGTCATCAAATCTATGCGAGATATTGGAAGCGTCGTGAGAAATAGAAAAAAAAATATTTTATCTATATGTATACCAAAGAGAAAATATTTTAAAAGATAAATTCTAGATTTTTTTTCCTCTTTGCGAGAAGACTTAGCTTAATATTAATTATAATTACTATAAAGAGTGGATGATGAAAGTTTATAGCGAAGTAAGGGTTCGTCATGAGGCCATTATTTAAATATTTGGAATGAAAACAAAAACGCCTTTTGTTTAGGATTTATAGATTTTTAGAAGATTAATTTCTTCCTTTTTTTTTTTACTCATCTCTGACTTTTGGCAATGTTAATTTAAAACAAGCTCGAGAATTCAGAGCGATGTAATTGCCAAATATTAATTTAGAACAAGCGCGAGAAATGCAGAGCGATGTAATTGCCAAAAATATTTTTTGCGCTTTCATACTTTTCATACTTTTCTTGTTATCTCTGCAACATCTGCATAAATGAAGTCTACTATCGTTATTTTCAAAATTAGTCTTTATTCCCATAAATGTAAAAAATATATTCTTCTCTCGACATAGAGTTTCTTCCTCAATAAATGTACAAAGTCCTTTTTCCTTGCGTATATATGCGTTGTTTTGCATTTCTATTTGAAAATTATGGATTTAAATCGTGATATTTTGGCGAAAAATCTGTCTTATTGTTAGTAGAAAATTTTAGGCGAGACGTTTGTGTCTTGACACCAACAAAATCGTCGGAACAAATCGTCGAACTTCTCATGTGCCTGCGAGATATATCGTATCGATCGCGTGGAGTATCTGTGTAACCGAGCTTCTCATCGATATCGCGATGATGTAAATATGCGGTATTACGAAACAATAAAGAAGAACGAAGGACGGAGAGATATTTTCTTTCTACCGGTGTCGCTTACCGCATCTAATTTTTGAATAGTTCGTTCGCATTCCCCTTAACGAGCTTTCCTCGGCAGCGAGTCATTCATCAGACGGCGGATGATTAATCAGTCGGCTAATCATCGCCGTGTTATTAAGGCCCGCATATTTTAACGGTATGTTTCGTACTGTATATTACGAGCTCGTCATATGTGATTAATGACGTATCGGCACGTTTGTGAACGTTTAACGCGTGTCTAAACGTCCAAGAACGTTGATCTTCTGATTTTGACGATTCTTGTGAATGATCCTAAGAAGAAGGGAAATCCGAGAAACCGTTTAAAATACTTTCGAAGACTTGTTGTTGTTGGAACTACCGCGCCTACATTTTCATGATACATCGCCACTTTAGACTCCATCGCCCGAGAAAAGCGAAATAAAATGTCAGCTGTCGCGTCGCCATCGCTTCCACTCGAAGAGTGTCGCTTCCTCAGCATTCTTACTTAAAACGGAAATCTCGAGTGCCTCGAGTGCCTTCCTCGTAAAAACTGGCTCTCCATTCAGTGCACGCTGCATCGCGAGGAGCTAAATCGATAAATGTTTACGTTGAACACTGTAAACTTTCGATGCGAATAAAACTCCAATCTTCTGTAAATAACGATGAATTGTCGATCGTATATTCGATCGTTGCGATTTCGTGATCGCGTAAAACGTATGCGAGAGAAGATACAACAATCTTCTCTGTATCATTATCGACGATGAAAACGATCGACAAAGGTACAAGGTGTTCGCAAGCAAATATTTACATCGCGAGACAAATAATTCGTATACCAAAGGAAAAATAGAAATTAATCGTGCGAATATATTTTTCGTTCAAAAAACAGATGCTTCCGCTTCTATTTTCTGTATTTGTGCACTATTCTTATTTCTCTATGATCCGTTATCGCTTAACATGCCCGCCGTTTGACAGGATCGCCAAAGGCAGCTGAGATCGTCGCCGACTTATGAGAGAAAGAGAGAGACACTCTCTCTCTCTCTTTCTCTCTCGAAGAGAGGGCCTCGTACAAGCGACACGGAAATCGGAGCAGAGGGATCGGACACCGGACATACCTAGTTATATAGTGAATCCGAAAGCTTGTCTGGAATCGTCGCACGGCATATCGGCACGTTTTCAAAACAGGGCACGTCCCCGGAGGCACGTCGAATGCATCTGTGCCCATTCGTCACGTCGCGCTATTAACGGCAAATTTAGAATCGGGGATTCTTATGGGGATTCCTCTCTCTCTCTCTCTCTCTCTGTTTCTCTCTCTCCTCCTGCTTTTCTCGTATCCCGTGTAAGTAGCCTGATATATCGCCGGTGTTTTGCCGCGATAGATCGTTACTCGATGTCACTCTGGGCTTCCAAAAGATCATGTAACGTTACAGTATTTTAAGTCTCTGTAATTGTCGATGTATGCGTTTATATTAAAAACGCTTCGAGCAAAAGATATTCGTGTTAATAAGAACTTTAAAAGTGTATAGGAATTTAATTAGCATTATCTTACTCAAAATTTTGCAATTGCCCTTCTTTTTCTTTCTTACAATGAGTTCAAAATTTCTTTATTTTATAATGTGAAAGAGAGTTCTTTATGTTCGATAAAATTTAAAAATAAAAGATGATATTGATTCTTTTTAGAAACTGATGTGTAACGGAGTTAACGAAACACCAACGAAACGTGTCTCTAAACCACTGGATATCTTTTTAATAGCAGATTCTGCAACCAATTTGGAGACGACGTTTTGATATCACATATATATGATATATTGCATTTTGTGGCACGTGCTTATGCACTTGTAAACGGAATCTGTAACAAATTATTCTCCTCCAAATCGGTCACAGAGCTACCGACCGACCGGTCGTGTAACTGTACGTTCGCACGGCTGTTTCTTCAACGCGCATACATTTCCCGAAGCAGATCCGCGTCGAATTTCAAAGCACTTCCTCTCCCTGTTTTCCCTTCGCGCCGAGTAATCGCGGAAGCTTTCGCCGTGCGTTTAATACGTCGGGAAGCGTTTTCCAGATGCTCTCCCTCGTAAAGCATTGAAACACGACTGACGCATCGTTTGTCCGCGCGACGTGTCTCTCGCTTGCGATAAACGTTCCGTTCCCGTAATGCACAGTCGAGCGAGCATGTAATTACTTATTTAATCCTTGGAATGGAACTGCTACGTTTACGTCGACGGAATATATCTGGCTTGAGGGAGTTCTCTACCTGCGCGCATCTCTCTCCGCGAGATCGTCTTTCCTCAGGGAATTCATATCCGCTGCATCTCCGTCAATACTCTTGAAGCTGATCCGCAAATATTGGGCGAATTGAACAGAATTGATGGAAATATATTTCTTAAAATTATGTATGAATTTTTAATCTTTAAAACCTATGACATTTTAGATAAGTATTGTATTTAGATAATTATATGTCGTCAATTTGCGTTAATATTAACAAGAAAAATTTTAGTATTGAAAACTTTTTGAAAACATGTTTAATTTCAATGAAAAAAGTATAATCGATAAAAATAATCAAAGTTATTAATCGAGTTGAAGTAACTAAATTTAGCGATTTATTAAATCAAAAACAGAAATGAGAAAGGAAAACGAAAGAAATTATCTCTAGATTATTGTCTGACAAATCAATCAAAAAAAGGCAGCATCAAGATTAAGAGCCCGCGATGACAGCTGAAGGTGTTACATAACGTGCCATCGTTTTCACGTGATACAATCTGTCCGAATTTCCTGAGAGGTAAAGTTTTCCGGTATCGCGTGGCGAATGTTCTGATGCTGCACGGAATATGCAGATAGTCAAGTCATCTCACCGCGACACATACAGACACATATACACGCAGCAACGATACGCCGGATCCTCGTTCAACTTTAGCCTCCGTTGCAACATCTGTTGACCTCTCCGCTCGACCCTTTAGACTCATCGGGAACTTCGATGTCTCGAGAGTCCCTTCGTTTGCTATCCTCGGTAACAAGTGCGCACTTCACCACCGCCATCAGCAACCGACGTGAAGATGAACCGATGTTACACCACGTATCGGAAGCCTCAATGCAAGAAGAATGGAGGAGAATTGTCGGTGTTTACGGAAAATTACTGAGCAAAATGTAAACGCTTGACATAACAAGCATCATCAAATTTCTGTTCTTAATATATATAATAAAAGAAGAAAGTATATATTATAAGATCCCTTTATAAAATAAAGATAAAAAAAAAGAAATACACCAAGTACGTAAAAATAAAAAAATTCGAATTTATGTGTATTTAAATCAATGCAAGTAACCAAGACTGTGGTTTTTTTAGCATTCCTTTATTCGCTTTGATGTACATCAATTTACATCTTTTTACACGAAATTGGTTTTGTCATATATGAAAGTTAAAGAACTTTTTTTGAAAATAAAGTAGAAAAAGGTAAATTGAATTCTCCCTCTATGCTGACTGTGCTGTTTCAAGCGGATACTTTTTCTCGATAGTATAGAGATTTTTCGCGATAGGTTCACCGAGTATAAATAAGAGTATACAATTTCCAGAAAAAGATATAACGTTTTTTCAACGAGAAGAGAAATGCATGCAAGTGAGAATTCAATCGATGTTTAATCAATGAGACGAGAAGTTCGAGAAGATGAGAAATACAAAACTATACTGTGATTTTTCGCGAAAACCTTATCACCGACGATGACAAGTCGGATGAATATTCTTGCGATTTTCAAAACGATATTTTTAGAGGCCAGCGAATAGTCGTAATTAGGAGAAAAGCAATAAAACGTATACGGGGGTTACTCAACATTAGACGAAAATATCCATGTCGCGGGTGTAAGAATAGTTTGGGACGACATAAATATTTTCGGAGTTACTGACCCGTCAAAACTTACTACAACTTTGTCGCACAGATCGGAGTATCGGCATCTCTCGCGCAGCTTGGGGAAAAATATACTCCTAGCTTCGATTTTATTATGACATATGAGCGTGTAATTTTACAGCATATCTTAATATAATATCCCCACAATATAAGTAACCTTTTATTTTTTTATAAATGATATTTTTTAATACAATATATATACATAATAGATTTGCTTATATATAAAATTATATATAACTCAAAATATTAATAATTTAAAGAAAATAAAATGTACGAGTTTAGTCATAATTGAGCTATTCTAAAGGATATTTTAAATTTTCGAAGCGAGAGATTAATAATATAATCTTAAGACGTACACACATTCTTCTCTCTTGTATTAATACTTTTTCTATATGTTATTATAAACTTCACGTTACGCGCTTGCTCAAATATGTACACACATTCTTCTCTCTCTTATTACCTCTCTCTCTCTTATTATTTACTTTTTCTATATAAGCGTATATTGGATCGAGTTGAGTTTACGATCTGATGGAATATTCTGGAACATTGCTAGGACGTACGAATGGGGGATAGGTCGTATCGTCGTGATGTGAATCAGCTCATTCTTCCATACACCTATCGTGTGTACGGACGTCCGTTAACATAAACTCGAGTTAATCACAGCAGCAGGACTGCAGAATTTTTATAAATATCAAACTGTGGTGAAATTATATAAGTGATATTTTTAATAATAAAATAATGTAAGTATATGCTCACCCGTTTATAAAATTTATAAAATTCTTACATTTTTTCCCGTAAACGCGCAAATAATATTTTATTATACATGTTAGAGAAATAATCTTCAAATTACAATCTTAATTTTTTTTTAAGATCAGTAATGGAATCAGATAAAGAAATATAGAAATTTATGAATTTTAATTTATGAATATAAACAAGTGGGTATATCTTTAATTTATATCAGATATAACAATGGAGGAAACGGCCGCATTAATCAAATCATGTATAATTTCGAAGAAAGGAGGTGTACCAATTGGTGATCTAAACGGTGAGTTTCATTATTCTGCGAGAAGTTTAATTAATATTTTTATGTAGATTATCGTGTATAAATTTGCTATTCATATCTGCGTAACATTTATATAAATGAAAATGATCAGAAAAATTCATCGATTTTTCTCTCTTCTAGATGTTAATATTTTAAGAAATATAAACACATTTAAATTAGAGATATTATAAATTAGAGACTAAAAATTTAGAAGTTAATGTCTTTTACGTTTAAATACGGACTACGCATTTATTAGTTTTAATAAAATTTATAAATTTTTTAAACTAATTTATGTTAGAGCAAAACTTATTTCTTTGAGATTAAAATTATATATAAATATATACATTTATCTATTTATATTATTTAAACGAGAAAATGCTCTTTCATGCTCAGAATTTTTTTTTTTAATACTATTTAAATTAAAGACACTTCTTGTACAGTTTAGCGTTATAAATTCAAGTACTAGAAAAAGAATGCTGTTTTCGCAGATGAGTTTCAAAATCTGGTCGGAGAATTCATTCCTTTCCGTAGATTGGGATTTTCAAGTCTCTGTGCACTTTTACGAACCATAGATGGTTTGGAGACATCTTGGAACGAATTTGGCGAACAAGTGTTAAAGATAAATGATTCTAAGATTGCTCATATCGATAGACTCATACGCTATCAAAAGGTCGACTATTCGAAAACAAGAGTACGTGCGATGATTCTCATGGCAATGTTATAGCACGTAGTAATTATATAGAGATTCGGAAAATAAAGGAATTGTAAATTTTGTTTTAGAACAAATACTATAAACAATTTGCACAATACAAGACCAATTCTGAATATAATGATGAGCGTAGGCAAAGAAACAGAACAGTGCACAATACCAATCGTACCAATAGACGAATTCAAGATTTCGGTTATCGTCGTGATCCGTACCTGTTAAAAAACAGTAAGATATTTCTCATTCGGCATATCCGTTTTGAAATATTATCGCTTAGGAAATAATATTTTATTAAATATTTTATTATATGTAATTATGTACTATATAATATTTTAATCTTTTTTTCTCATTATTTTTGCTCTTTTTTAGAAGCATTTTATTGTACAATTTCAGATTCACTATCTTTATATGTATTTTCTATGGTTTCGAGTTTTATTTTATCTTGATATTTTAATTGTAACGCGAATCACTTGGAATAATTTAATCGAAGAATCTTTTCTTATAAGAAGAGAAAGATTTCCAAGACAAGTCGTAATACTTGTTTATATTTCAGACAGCTTTCATGAAAGTAATAGCTTCTTGTACGAAGAAGAGAATCATCGTCCGGTGGTAATAGAAATGAATGAAACGAAACAAACTGTGAGTGTATAATAGAATTTATATTTGAGGCGCATCAAGTAAAATCCTCAGCGGTCTATCTCGAAAGTAATATTTCGAAATATTATTTAATATTCCAGACTAGCATACATGAACCTATTGCAAGCGGCCAGCAATTACTTGGCGATGATTTTTTCCTGCAACTCGCAATACGAAATCTTCATCTTCCCATCTGGAGATACAAAGGTACAACATTTTTTTGTTCCTAAAATTTCCTGCAAGTTCTATTTTTGCAAAAATCTACATTATTCTTATAATTTCTTATATTTTCTGACTAAATTAAAATCACACGCATGCAATTAAATGGGAAAATTTGTTTTTATAATTATTATTTGTTTGATTAAAATTATTATTGTCCTCTATTAAAGTCATACACAAGCGCAAAACAATCGTATAATGTGCAATATAATAATAATAGAAAAGTTAAATTCTATAAATATAAAGCGTGCTACAATTTTTATATTGATTTGATTATTATATTTTGCAGATAATTTAGCCTTACACTGTGGTTTGTGCATCTCTGGCCAAACCATAAGCGATTGTACTCGGGCTTTGAGGAATATTAACACCATCTCCAATCGTGTCGTGATCTTGCTTGGTTCAGTCGATGTCTACAACGTAAGTTAATTTGCCTCTAGCCTATGTGTTCTCAAGCAAACATAATACTGCGTAAATAGTCTTTGAAGAAACTTAAGTGTATTTATTTACATACGAAATATACACATACACACATATAATATAAATGCCAGTAGTAGAGAATCGGGCTGAAGTGAAAACGCCAGGCGCGATAAATGAAGCGCAAATTCTTTCTTTTTAGTATGACTTTATTCATAATTCAGCATAATATTTTATAATATTATTCATAATTATTTATAATTCTTTATAATATAAAATCAGATTTTTATAAAAATAA